AATAGGTAAAAATTCCACTAGGAAGAATGGCTGAAAACCCAAGACAAAATATTGGTGGTACCTCCAATGACAAGGAATTGGTAAAAATCTGTCTCACGCTGTTGTAAAAATCTTTGTGGATTCCCTAAAAAAGACTAGTTTTCGAATATCAGTAAACATATTGCCGGATAATTTTTCCACAATGAAAAAGAAATTCATTATTTGGTAATAAATGTCTTATTGTCTCTTTCCACTAAAATTAAATTATTCGTTATTTTATATTTTCACAATTCCGGTAGTTTTGTGCTACTATTGGCCTCAAAGGGGAAACCACAAAAACTTGGCCGAAAGTAGACAAAACTGATGGTTCTTTTCCCAACAATGGCTACGATGACAAATGTACAAATTAGTTATGATGCCAAAAAAGGAAATTTATCATTTCAATTTAAATGTTAAACTTGCTTCCTTTTGGTTACCCACAAACTGGGTCCGGAGGCAATTTTTCTAAAAAAAAAACACACATTACAATCATCAGCATCATCAGGTGAAACCTTAAATAATAAAATAAAATATTACATTTATTTATCATATGTTAGCTATGTACGAGTATGTGTATGAGTGTGTTTGTAAAGGAGCTTTTTTCTCCGGCTTGTTTTACTTCCGTGGTACAAAGGATAATGTGTAACCAAATAACCCAATGTAATGTTCGTAGTAGTACCATCATTAACACCAACTAAAGAGGTGAAATCTTTTGTTGGCAGCCTCTGATGATGATGATGCCGATGGTGGTGATGGTGGCGGTGGCATGGTATGTAAGTTATTTTCCATCTACCACTTTTTTACGTGTTGGCATAGCCTCCAGTTTTTATTTTGGCATCCTTTTTAGAATAACGAATGAAAGAAGTGGGAAAAAACTACCAAGAGATAGACAACCATTTAATGGCAAATGTCTCATTTAAGCCCTCATAAAATTTAAGAACAAATGTTAAAGTCGTCGTTTGTTGTTACACCGAACACAAACACAAGGAGGCGACAATGGGAGCACAGCTCCATGGGTATAAGCCAGGAAATTTATGGTACATGGATGGTCTCCCTCCTGCTTCTTTTGCCAAATGCACACATAACACAATTTAAATTAATGCAAACCAAAAGAGGGAGAGCGAGAGAGGGAGAAATAGACGACACGAACATAAACCCATTTCGGAACACATTTAAAATAATGAAACACCTTGGCAGGAAATAGTGGCGGCAGGCGGTGGAAAGTGCTCAAAACATGAGTTGTACTTAACACCCACAATAACACACACACACACCCACCCACACTACTGTGAATGGTGACCATCAAAGATTAAAAGAGGTCCACTGACCCACAAATCCACACACACACATATGCATATGTTTGGTACAACGATTCTGGTGGTAAATTTTTAATGAATCCAAGTGATAAGAATAATGAAAAGTGGTTTAACCTCACTTTACTTTGTGGTGATCTATTGACTTTGTGGTTTTAAGTGAAATTAGGAAAACTATGTTTGTTGGTGTTGTTCTTTTATTTTGCAATTGTGTTGCAATAAAAATATGTAATTGGTTGTAAGTCAGGAGAATACAAATTGTGATTTCTAACGAAATGAAAATAATTCTTTAGAAGATTCGGAATTATATTTCGCAGGAATGAAATATGTATTTTTGTTTCCTCGCATGTTCGGCAGAAATATGGACTTAATATTCAAGTTGTAGATTTTTCATTGTAATTGCTCTAAATTTTTTTTTTTTTTTTTTTTTTTTTGATATCCGTGTATGTTTGGAATGACCTTGGCCACCCTATATTTTGTAAATATTGAAAATCCAAATCAAGTTTTCGAATTTGAATTTTAATCTCTTACATCCCCTCAGTATACCACACCACGTGACAGGAACACACATAAAAACGAGATGTCAACAATTATTGATGGCCCTGTCAACAGTGACTGCCAGCACCTGTTTAAACGATTTTATTAACTATATGAGTTACCTGGTAAACCACCAATTCCCCCTCGCATGTACACCACGATTTTCAGGGAATTTTAACACGCAATGTTTGGCATTGGCTAGACTATACGAGGGAGGGTATGATTCTTAAAAGCAATTAAGTTCAACCCCAACATAATATGTTTAAGAAATGGAACTAACTCCTTTGGGCACTGGCACTAAATTTCCTCATATATGCACATATTGTTTGTATTTTTTTTTTTAAGTTTAATAATTTGTCGTACTCTGTAAGTATTGTTGGCACTCACCAACGAAGCAGAAAAATCTGTGAATAACTTAAAAGTTAGTTGTTGACATGCAACCGCACCAATGCTAAGACCCAAACCGATACACACACATTCTACACCACCACCACCACCGAGAATAACAAGGGGAAGTGTTGTATGTGACATCTAATTGACGATTTAATTGAAACGCCTCCACCACCCTTTGTGGTTTACCCTTCATGTGACCTGGCATTTAAAGCCAATTAAGGGAATTTAAGATTTATTCCTTTATTTTTTGTAGTTTAAAGAGTTTGCCTTTGGTGGGAGGATGTGGAAATGAGAGAACATTATTTTTATTATTTGAAAAGAAAATTTTATTTCAATTTTTTGGTGAGATATTAATAAATGCAAGGTAGTTAGGAATATGGAATGCACATAGAAAATTTATAATCAGAAACTGACGGATATTGTTTATGGAGACAAATCGATGCAGCAGAAGTTCTTACTTTTTTTTTGGTTTTGTAGCAGATAAGTTCTCCGCAAAGCGTTTGATCTTTAACAAAACTGCTCAATGCTTCAACAACCTTTAAATTTGTGGCGAGAGAGGAAAAGCAATACAAAATACGTGCCATTTAGCTACTTGAATGTAAGCAAATAAAAAATTTACTTCGACAGAGGAATAGCTAAGTGGAACAAGGAACTAGTTCCATAAGTTTTAATTCTAATTTTCACATTTTAAAGCATTTTTTTCCTTCTTCCAATTATAAGTTCATAATAAAATAATAAATTAGTACACTGCTTTGTACATAGTTACTTACGACCAAAATTAACGTAATAACCCAATTATTGCATCATAAAACATTGGCTGAGTGTCCCCAGCCGTTTGCCCTCTCTTCCACCAAAAATTAGAGGACTTCCTCTAATAAAACCACACGAAATGAAAATGTGGAGATAAACCATGAAATATTTGAAGGCAAACTGGAAATGGTTTAATGGGGGAAGAACAGTATAATTAAAAAACAAATATTTTGTGAATTGAGAATTTTCCGATTTTTACCGAACAGAAAGCAATTGAGCAAAAATGTTGATGGCAACGAACCAGTGCAGTAGTGCAAATGAATTCTTTCTACACCTGCGTGACACCGAAAATCCAATATATTTTTCATTCAGAAGCAATATACTTTCATTTTAGAACTTTCCCCTATTCGTAGATTTAACTAGTTCACCCTTTTAATTAAAGGGTTCAAGTCAATCCTCTTCCACACATGCATAGAAATACAAAAACGGTTTGACAAATGTAAAGAGTATTCGGTAAGGGTAGAATCTGCTCGATTTTGAATGAATTTTTTTCCAACTCAAAAACGTGGAAAAGAAGCTTACTCATATTCGAGCTCGAATGTGCTCGAGCACACTTGCTCGAATTAGAGCGATTTTCGCCCTTTGTTCAAATACGAGCGATTTTTTCGGAAGTCTCTTTATAACAGATCACCGATTGGGTTGCTTTCATTCGGGAGTAAATCTAGTTGGCGAGCGAGATTGCTCGGAGAGTGGGAGTTTTATATAGAGTTCAGTATTCACTTTTTTTTTTTTTTTTTTTTTTTTTTTTTTTTTTGTGGGAATTCGAGCAAGCTTTTCGCATGTCTGATATCTAAAGTTCAGCAATTTCGTTGATCTTGGTCATTTGGCTACCATAGTTACTCCTTTTTATCAACTGCAATTTTAGCAAACATTCATTCAGACAATTGCTCATGGTTCATTTCTTTGCTCTATTATTATTCAACAATTCCACGATCGATTTTATAAACCAAGTGATTTGTGGTTTCTAATATGTTCTATTAGTAAACTGCTAAATATTCGTTTTTTTTTTTTAATTATTGAATCTGGTTGATGTGGTTCGATATGGATCAATTGTTTTTCTTTGTGTTGAATCAAAAAGGATATTCAATTTTTGTAAATCCCAGTCATGAAATAACATTTACCCATTAAACTTTGTAAATAGCCATGCATGAAACAATTTCCAATTGAACAATTTAGTATATCGGAAATATACAACATGAACATGCATGCTTTCCAACTAGACGTAATCACTAATGACAATTGTTATTTATTTTACCATTACCTTTACTGTTATTATCACCTATGTATACCTACATGGGATATGGCATGAATGATAGGAATGTAACTATTTATAATTAGCTAACGTGTGTGTGTGTGTTTGTGTAGAACAATGATTATTGGGCGCAACCTCTAAATGGATTTAAATGTAACGTTAACTCATGGACATGATTTTTAATTTCGAAATGTGGCCATGGACTAGATGGCGGAGGTGGGGAACAGAGTCATGGGAAAACAAATGAAATAACAAAACAAAGTGTGGAAGTTTTCTACTCTTCGACCGCACATTCAAAGGATAGAATGTAAAAGGTTTTTTTTTTAAGTGGGATAATTAGGTCGCTAATAACAGCGGTATATAAGAGTTTTGAGTTTTATACACAATGTATGTATGCATGTATATATTTATTTATTTATTTATTTTTTTTTTTTTTGGAATATAGCTGTGTTGGTACTTATTCTACAAATCGACTTCTAAAGGCGAAGAGGCTTAATTTTTTCAATGGGAATGATTCGAATTGTTTTTTGGACATATCCTTCCTTGAAATAAAATTTAAATATTTTTGATACATGTATCAAAAAAAAAAATCATAGCAAAAGTTTGCCAAAACCCCCGCTGAAAATGAAATAGCCAACCCACCACGAAGAAGAGAATAACATAAAAAGTTTACTTACAATTAACATTTAACGTGGCTGTGGCTTCCAAACGTTCGCCCTCGTTCATGGCACGATTCCAAACAACACATTTGTATTTGGCAGCATCGTCCTCGCGACGTGGCACAATGGTTAACGTTGCATTGGTGGGTTGATCCTTTGAGCCTCCTTTGAGTACCTCAGTTTGCAGCATTGCATTGCTGCCTTCGCGATACCAGCTGTACATGAAAAAAGAAAAGAAAAAGAAGAAGAGGAATGAGAAAACATAACAATAAGAAACGGGAACAGGAGAAGAGTCAGCCAAAAAAAAAAAGGCCGACAAAAAATAAACGTAAAGATAGAGATACGTGAAACGGAAATGAAACAAAAACATGAAAAATTATTTCGTATCTTTTTTTCCAATGATTTTGCATGACCGCTTCGTCGTTTGGACAGCCGAACAACACTGCCACGGATAATGGCAACAACAAAAATGTTACAACTACAACATAACAGGATTTTTGCTTTGATAGTGTTTGGGAGTGTTGGACATGGGTGGCCGGCACTCATGGAACTAATGGTGTGGCCACGGCTGATGTTCGCCTCCCGAGAATGTGCTGTATATGTTGTGTCTGACTGTTAGCCAGCCTGCAAGTGGATACTTTATCATCATCACTGGCTGCCGAAATAGATGTACTTCTTGTTGTTGTTTTGCTCGTTAATGTTGTTGTATGTATGTACTGCTTCTTGTTTTTTTGTGTGCGCTGATATCGTTAAGTGGCATCATTCGGGTTTATTTGTATTTTCCATTTGTTTTGGTGTCTCTCTTCATTTAGTATTTATCCCCCTATTTTCTGCCAGAATATTTGTTTGCAAATATGTAAGCGAGTGTGTGTGTCTGTGTGTGTGTGGCGGACAAACACACAAGAGTATGTGGTTTGGTTTTAAAGTTCTTTTTGGTGTAACTTTGTTTTTGTTGCAACACATCTTACTGCTGCTGTTGTTGTTGTTGGCAAAGGAAATGCAGGAAAAAGGAAAAATCAGCAACGCCGTTTTTTTCTGTTCTTTATTTTGGCAAACATTGAGCGCTTTGTGCTGCTTCAAATTTTTTGGACACTTCCGTTGAGCATAATTTTAAATTGTTCTTTTTTCTCTCTCTCTCTCGCTCAGTAGTTTTCGCTAAATGAAATCTAATTGTCCTTTTAAATGCAGTCGGTCGTAGTGATGTCGAGGAGAAAGGACTTGTGACTCTAAATTAATATTAAAATTGAATTTAAACCCTTTGCGCTGTCCGTCGCCGACGCTGCCATTCGGAGTGATATGAAACTTGTTTGTTAATGACTTTACAGCAACAGTTTACCATCCCATACCAAAAAAAGGAGTGCAAAAGGAAGAACTACTGGGAAAACTTTTAGCAATTATTAAAGGTCATTATAAAACTATGTAATGCAAAGCATAGACGGACAGCAAGCAAAAAGGATACAAAATATGAAGTTATCTACATTAATTGCACAGAATTTTTGAGAAACTTGGGGAGGGGGCTGACACCCAAGACATTTCTTGGCAGATTGTAGTTAGGGAACAAAGGGGGGGGGGGGAATACGAAAGGCAAGCAAGAAAGTTGTAAAATAAATTTAAATGTGACAAGTTGACCTTTTCAAGAAAAATTTAGCTGAATGATATTTTAAAGGTTATCCGGAGATATTTATCTTGCTTTGTATTTAAGACATGAAGAGGGTGTATCATGCTAAGATAATTAAATAATTACACGGAAATAATCCTCCGAGGAGGTATAAATAGATGATAGATATCATCGACATTTTTCCCAGATTCAAGGCTTTTGGGAGCTCCCTAAAGTATGCTATAAACGCAAAAGGGTTATATGATTTTTACATAATGTGTAATCAGACCTTTAACTAGAAACAGTGGAAAAAACTCTTGATAGGTTCAATATTTTCTTTTCAGTTCCAATAATATTTTTTACCATAGAATAATATCGTGCTGTTGAAAACCATGCATTTTCAAACATATTTCTGAAAATAATTTGCATTTTGGCTTAACTTTTCCCTAGTCTTAAACATTTTACTATTTTATTTAATTTGAAACGTTTAACAATTTGTTTTCGTACTTTATATGTTTGAATGTAATTCGAAAATCGGAAATTATAAAATTTAATAAATAGTTTTAGATCGGGCAGAAAAAGTAAGATCATAAGATGCGCCTCGAAGGAGAAGGACAAAAAGAGGGTGGAGGCGCTTACTAACATCAGCTCACTCCAGAAATCTCAAATGGTCGGATATTTGTGTTAAGGGCTCTTGAAAATTGCCTAGAATTTTTCCGTCTTTAAGAGACTTAAAACATTTTGTATAAGTTAAGAATTTTGATCCATGAAAAAATGAGGCTAATGATAGTTTGGCAGAACTACATCGATTTTTATTTAAGTCCGTCCAAAGGTATACTCTTTCTCATACACATCCATTAAGGCTAGTATGTTAGAGTCATATGTAAAACTACTTTTACCAAATTCATGTTAAGCACTTTTATGGCATACTTTAAGGCGATTCACACTATCTGTTACCTGAAATGATATCTTAATATATTCATAGAATAAGTGCAACATTAACATAATATGTGTATATCAATTCTTGGGTGCGCTTAAAAGCATACCGCAAAAATGTTTATTATAAAACGTAAACAAATCACTTTACATGTGACTCTAACACGATGTGGAAACTGGCATTTATGTAATATTGCATCATATATCATATCAATCAGGCTGGACGTTGATGATTTTCCCGTCAGTTACTTTTTTATATATGTATTCATATAGTTCTTATGTAAAGGATTTAATTGCAGTTACTTCGCAACTTGAATACAATTCTCTCTGTCCGTATCAATCACATCCCCTTGCATCATCACATTTTCTTTTCCATTTTTCTCATTATTTTCATCTTAAATTCTGGATATCTTTTTAATATCCCACACTCACACACACAGAGACACTGACATGTGTATTTATTTTGCACTTCCTTTTGTGTAGTGCCTCCGATCCCTGTTAGACATGGATTCCGCTCGTCATAATATCTGCTGTTGTCTTTTCTGTTCCGAGTAGTAGTTGCGGTAATGAAACGAAACGAAATTTATGCCATTTATTTAATATCACACTTTTCGGATGGCGGATAGCGGATAGCATTGCTGTCATCATAAGGGAATTAAGTGCCAAATTTATTATGCAATGTAATTTCTTTTGTCGTTGTTTGTCTTATTTTTTAATTTTTATTATATTCTCATTCTCGGTTTACAGCGTAAATTAAAATGGCACGTAGAGCGTGCGTGTGCGTGTGCGTGCGTAAGGTTTATCCCGGCCCACATATAACGGGCCAAAAGACAACGAGAAAACGTGGCAAAAAAAATGGAAAACCGAACGCTGTTTAAGTCGAGAAGACACAAATGCTTTCAAGAAGCTCATAAAATATACATGTAACGGCAGACTCGGGACCCATTTCTGGCTTTCAATGAGTGGCTCACAGCTACCGAATGAAGCATGGAGCAAAACACCAGCTCCATGGTTGGTCGGTCAGTCGATCGGTTGGCAGGACTTTTATTTCAATTAAATGACCACGACGACTTAATATAAACCGACACAATTGCAGGCCTTGCAGCTCGGAGGATGCAAAAATGTCCAGCTGTAAAAATGTTGCGAGTGTATACTTACGTTATCGTTGGATCGGGCGAACCACCAATACTACTGCATGTCAATTTCATGGTTTTATCTTCGGTGGCAACGGCTATATTGCCGGGCGATATGACAGGCGGATGTGGCGGCGTAAGCACAGTTAAATTGTAAAATTCCTGATGCACATCGGCACCTGTGCCTTTGGCCTTAATGCGACACTCGAAGCGGCCATTGTCACGGGCGTAGGAGGCATTTTTAATTTGTAGATCGTAAATGCCGCTTTTAGGACGAAAATCAAGCCTGCAATGAAAATGGAAATGGAAAAAATGTAGATGAAAAGACATGGGCATACCAAAAAGGGAAATCTGTTAAAAATCAAACTGCTATTTAAGGCCAACATCAACAACAAACACCACCATCACCAATGGCGACCACTACACACCGACAAATGCACTGGGACAACAAGACATTCCACGAGCAAGGTAGATAAGGATAATTGAAAATGTTAAACATAAAAGTGGGCAAAGACGAAAACGAAGAATGAGAAACAAGAAATTGGTAAGGAACAGCCATTTGGAGCAAATCGTGATTTCATTTCAATTTAATTAAAACAACTCTGTTCCTAGCCGCACGGAGCCAAGACGAAAGGATAAATCGAATATCTTCATGTTTTCGGTTCGCCCAACTAATTTGTAAGGAATTCAACTTAATTGAAATATTTTCTTCAAAATTTCTCCAAAAATACATAACGAATAGCATAAATATTCCATTAATTTTCTTATTCCCGCTTTCTTTTTGGCAGTTTGTAGCCAAGTAACGGCGATTATTATTATTGCTGTGTAAGCAGAAAACAGCATAACAGCAATCGCTAATTGACAAATTACGATCGAAGAACCGACCCAAAGGTATTGCCTGATAATTTGAGCTTCTTAAATGTAATATGTCTTAGTGTGATACCCCGTGCGCTACCCCCCACCGCCGACGTCAAGGAAAAAATGACCATCTGTGTAGACCTATAACAAGCAAAGGAAAAAACTTCTTAAATTACTTTGCCAGTCACCTTAGAAACCGTTTAGAAGAGGAAGCTGTGTTTCGCAGAAAAGCGCAAAAGCACAAACGTTAATGTGCACAGATATTTCAAGTGTCCTTGAAAGTTCTGTTTTTTTTGTGTTCTTTCGGGCGTTTTGTTATTTCCTTTCATTTTTCTCCCAGGCCATGGTGATGTTTTTTCTGTCTCTCTCTCTCTCTCTAATATTAGAATAACAACAACAACACCCATAGAGAAAAAGAAAGTGACCTTTCAGAAGGTATGGTGGGAGCAGGCAACAATGTTAATGAAGCTAATTGCCATTCACTTCACCGCGCATGAAACGGGAGATGAGGTCCGGAAAAATAGACTGTTTGCCGTTTTTTTTTACTTTCTTGATAACAATATTAATTTTTAATCGCATTAAAATGAAGCTATGGCAACCATAATAACACAGCGCCTAGTCATCCAGGCTGGCAGGCACGGAAGCATATTTTTAAGGAAATCACTCTTAGTGAGGCATACTTTCAGGCGGTTTTAAGTTAATAAATCTCAATAATATGGTCATAACAATTAGCGTTTAAAAGAACAGGAAATATGGCTTTTGAGAGCAAAACAAAAAGAGCAACACTCACATCACATTCTGGAGATTTTAAAAATTTCTTATCTTAACAAGTCCAACAAGCTATTTATTTCATTCCATTAAATCACAATTCATTTCGAATGCCTGACATACATCAATTAAAGCAATCCACAATTTTTCCTTCTTTTTTGACTTAATCGAAAAAAAAAGCAAATTCCAAAGATACATCTTCAGAGATTTATTCAATTATATCCATACCATGTGAAAATGTTGTTTAATTTTCCAATAAAAGAATGGACACACTACTATTTCAATTACCAGAATATTCTTCGGTATTTCGTTTTCGTTTTTTTTTTTTTTCTGTGTTATTTTTCGATTTATTATACGAATGGAAATTCATATGAATAAAAGTTTTCTGATATTTGCACTCGACATTTTCTTGCAAAATTTATATTTGATGTTGATTTTATTCTGTGATTTTTTCCAGTTTCTTTTAATATATAATGGAATTTGTTAAGGACTGTTCGGGAGAAAATTTCAGGATGTTTGGCAGAACGATGAATGAGAATTTCTTAAATGTCCAGAAATTTGATGGGCAGGAATAAAAGTTGATGAATCTGGGGCTTCATTTTTGTTCTGTGAAAATATAAAATGAAAACTATAACAAAAATGAGGGAAATTTCGAATGTATAAAGAAAATATTTACCAAATCAAATTTTCACAGAATAAGAATCAAGGTCCGAAAACCTACTCCTATATTGACAATGTCTGGCAAGGATCTTGTACTATCACCCACTCTGGCTTGCGATAATACATTTTGGCTTTTATGAAAATGCAAACGAGTTATATGCCATAAGCCATTACGATATTCAAATGCTAATTTCGGTGAATAATGTCGCTAAAATTGTCCAAATACCGAATATCGGGAGCTACCGTTATATGAGGGCTATACGAAGACGTGGACCTGCACAGACAATTTTCTGTCATAGGCTATAGTATTTATTACGAACTTCAAATACCAAATTTAAAACATTTCCGGTAAATAATGTTGCTTAAATCACAAAAATACCGAAAAAAGGGAGGTACCATTTTATGGGGGCTATACCAAAATGTAGACCTACATGACCCATTTTCCATACCAAAAGTCCTGCAGACATAATAAACATTAGGGAAAAATCTTATCAACATTCTTCATTTCGTTCGAAAGCTAGAGTGATTTCCAGATTACGTTCAGAATATTTGGAAAATACTTTTAGGCAACATCTGTGATCTCCAATTTAAAAGGCCTTAGGGTGTCTTATTATTACTGTACAGAGCACGGATTTGTTAATTTTCACTCGGGAGTTTTATATAGAGGAGTTTACTCTTCGGTCTTTTGTGCGGAAGCGTTCCCGAGTCACTCCCGGTTGACAGTTAGAGTGGAAGCGGATTTGCTCGAAATAGAGTGAGAGTTTGCTCTAAGAGACAAATTGAGTAAAAAAAAAGATATATGTAAAAAAGTGAGTCAACTTTGAATGACCCTCACATGATGTTTAACCTAGTTTTAAGATGCCACCTTTTAGATTTTTGTCCTGGCAAAATTCGATTCGATGAAAGAAGAGTTACACATCCTCACACAATATGAGCCTCTCTCGACATTGTCCGCTCTAAATCAGCTGAACAACTCAGATAACATTTTTTCTGTGTTCATCTCAACTCATGTTCAACTCATCAACTCCTTGGCCAGATTTATGCAAGTCCTCGAACAGTCCTTAAAAATATTATCTTGTTATGCTAGAGCAGCAATTAGTTTGTGCATTGAATTTGAATTGTAAGTAATATTTTAGAGAGACTTTTCAACACATCTAAACAAATTTTGGACGACGACGAAGTAGAAACATCGACGTAAATGCAATTTGTTTTCATTTCTATGAGGCATGGCAAAATAAAAATTTCCACAATTAATAACCGAATGCATCCTACACCAAATGCAATGATATTGGGCGAATCTCATAAGGCCCGAATACACATTATGTTAGAGTCATATGTAAAGTGACATTTATATATTTTATATTTTACTTTTTTACAACATACTTTAAGGAGCTCCCAAAAATTTTTACAATTAAAAGTAAGGGTACATTATAGAATGCTAAACATTACTCATAAAGCGTTTTTTTAGATTAAAATTTCTGAGGAACGTCTAGAAGTATGCTATAAAAAATGCTACTGGTAGTTGTGGAAAAAGTGTCTTGACATTCTAGCAAACTCACATAATATAGAGTTGCAGAATTGGATGTATAACCAATTCTTTCTTGTGACATAAATATAAATTAATTGATGTGCATTTATCTCTTAAGGTCGTTCACAGACCACTGACAATCAGTTTGGCATTTACCCATTACTGGTAATGTTTGTCACAATTCGGATATACCCATGCCTTTCAACGATACATGTAATTTATGTTGAGTTGGCATTTAAGATAAAAAATAAATAAATTGTCTATTTACATTTTGTAAATTGTGTTATTTTTATGTGGTTTCCAATTTACAACTAAAATTTTTTATTTGAAAAAATAAATGAAAAATTATGAAGAGGGCTGTTATTACAAGGATGTAATTCCATTTAAATTTTAACAAAGGGACTCCACACAACACTTGATCTTATGAGTCTATTACATTAAAATTTTGTTTCCTTTTTTTGAAATATCTATTTCAGAGAAATTTACAAGTTTTGGTATTTTTTTTACTAGAAACGCGTCTTGTACCGAATAATATAGGGAAAGGAAACCAAAATGGTGGGCAATGACGAAATCTTTAAAAACTCTATCCTACCCAAATTTGGGCGGGTAAGGCTTAGTAGAACAATTGCCAGCTTTTATTTATTAAAAAATGGTAACTCAGAAGGGTTGCCATTTAGATTTACCATTAGTTTTTCGATCCCATATTAACATGTCGCTCTTCCATTACGTTTACCCTTAACAAAATGTGGGCATTTTTCGAACTTTTCAAACGTCCCTCGCCCGAGCTCAATTTATATCCATGCAATTCTATTTGTTTTCTGTTTTTTTTTTTTTTTTTTTTTTTTTTTTTTTCTATTTTTTCAACTAAAGATGCCTTAAAGAGAATTGATTGAATATTTTACAACAAATTCTAGATAAAATATGAGTGTGGTGTATCGAGCAGAAGGGTAATTTATAGAATTCATTTAAGAAGAATTCTTAATAAATTGTTTAAGCAATTATTACAAACAAGGACGCACACACACGCATACATACATATATCTTTCAATGGCCTTACGCATGCATCGATGGTATATAACTGGACGGATACTGGGTAGTGTGCTAAGATATTCATTTAATTGATTGCTTTTGCCAGTACAAGGCAATATATTAAAAATAGAGTATGGAATAGAAGTAAGATTCCATATATGTATTTGGTATACATACGTACATACATATAAATAGTATAAACAGGACAGTCGCCACAGGCAATGCATCACTGCACATCATCCTGTTCCTGTAGTTGTTAATAATCAAGTATCTTGTCCTTGGTTAATATTGATTTGGTTGGCCAAGAATAGCTACCTTGTACATACAAACAAACACACATACATCCATACATCAGAAGTGACTTCAATACTTTAGTCTGGTCGTAAATTACGTAATGCATTTGACGCTAGTTTAAGAGTACAGTACCGACCACAATAATTATA